AAAAGGCAGTGGAGCATCGTAAGGAGGTGCAGTCCCATGGAAGCCGATGACCAACAATTGGTTCATACGCCATTTGTTCCCGCAGGATACTGGAGCCCATGCGCACCATTGGTTTGGAATCCGGTTAAAGCACCGGACATTCGTTTTTCGTCCTCTCAATTTCGTAAACAACACCCCCGCCACGAGAAGGCAGTGAGTAGGACTTCCCTGGCAGAGGCTATATGCGCGTGGCCATATGAGAGCATTTTGAGAGGGAGAGCGGACTCTCCCCACTCTCGGCCGTACCAGGGCATTTGGGGGCCAGCCGTACCAGGGCATTTTAGAGCTTTAATGCGATGCCATAAGAATATCACTAGATGTATTATGTTACATAATTGTTTTATCAAAGATATTTTCATTGAACTAATTGGTTCATTCAGGCAGTTTTCATTGTCTTCCAATTACCAAACACTTTAATACGAATAATTTGTATAGTTCTCATTGTCTGTTTAAACAACATCATCAACAAAAGTATGCACTTATGAAAAAAACAATGAAAACTGTACGAATAAACTATTCAACTCAGAAAATAAAACATTTTTCAAAATTCTGATCCTGAACTTTAAATATTCTACATCATTAGTAAAGATGTTGTTAGTCATAGAAAGTGTAAGATCATATGGCACAGATTTCCATTGATTCAAAATTGCCTTACATTCTACATCGGTAAAGATTAGATGTGGAGAGTACAGTTTGAAAAGAAGGAATAAAAGAGATCTAGCAGAATATAACGAATAAATTTAGGATATTGAGAGCAATTTTAAAGTATATTACATCAAGCCTTAAAGCAGAGTGATTATTGTTCGCATGCTAAACCAGGTAGCATGAACTGCCTTACATGACTTAAGGTTAAACACTAATTGACTTTATCAGTTGATGTCAAATAGTGATCGGGACAATTTCGAATTTCATTCTTGGTGGTGTTGAGCTTCAATTTCGACTGTGAAGTTTACAAACAAACTGAATAGGGATGAATATCATTTTATCTAGTTCTTGTAATATTAATCGAATACTATAGACTAATTTGCAATTCAATAACACTATACAAAATGACTTAGAATATCGATGTAATTCATTTGATGTTACGCGAATGATACTGGTCCAAAATATATAAGAATTCAATAGTTCCTTTAAAACTGAAAACACCATATCTTTCTGATGAGTGTCAACTAACATGAAAACTTACGAATTCCAACTGATTATCTATAAACTATGTAATATGTGGGAATTTATGACTACCTACTGCTAATCTTATATACAACTGTAGAAACAATTGAGATATGAGTAGAAATAGAACAAAAGTTGGATTTCATTGAGTTGAGATCAATAGTAGAATTATTGAAAAATATAGAGTATTGGAGGATATCTGTTTTATTCTAGTTTTAAGAGTATCCCTTTAGTAATATGCATCTAAAACCACATAGAAGATTGAATGAACATTACATGGAGAGTATGAATGATTAAGTTTGACCACACGGTAGACGTGATAACTTTTGGTTAACTTACAATGCGTATAATATGATACTAATTTAAAATCATAGAAGAGTTACTACTTCACCTACCATTAATCTGATTACACAGGTAAAATTATCTTCAAACTAATTACTAGTGAGCAAATAAAACTGCATAACTTAGATACAAAATACTTAGAGAGGAAATTCATTACAATGATTTAAATTGTTCCTAAATACAGTCATCTTTGCTACTTGTTATGAATCAAACTAGATGATCACTACAAAAAAACGATAGGCTATTCGTAACTGAATTCCCATTCATACAAAACATACAAGTAAAGCCTCTTGATATTAATAACTCAGTTTTAATAGGTGTTGGATGTATATTTTGAGATAATTGTAAACTTTACAAATTTCTAGTTAACTTTATGAAATCAAAAAATTGAAGTAAAAGACTATAAATCTTATTCATCTACTTAAAGTAAGCTAAACAGAAGTAAACCTCTTTTTTTCTTCTAGTACAAATATTCAGTCACAAACATAAGCAACATATAATTTGAGACATAACTGCATTAATTCAAGTTGCCATAGGATATTAGCATACAAGAGATTAAATTAACAAGATAAATATTAAAGTAGTCAAAGTAGTAATATGATCAGCAGAAGGAGAAAAAAATCAAGCATACACAATATAAATAGACAATACAATTCGAAAAGAACAAATTCGAAGAAAAACTGTAACTATTTTACTAATAAAAATAACATATTTGTAATATCTTAATGAGTGGAAAAATTGAATTTTTTAACACTTCAAAGAATAAATAAACAAATCAAATTAATCCAAGTTTAAATGGTGCAAAGGAGTAAAGCAAGAGTATTTAGTGCAATCAATCAATCAACCAATTAATCAATCAAAAACAGGTCTGATCAAGTCAATGTCATCTCACTCTCATCTATGTGATTTCTATGAGATATACTTATGTATTTGTATGTATGTTAGTCGATGTGAAAAATATGATATTTGTAATGTGAAAAGATGGAGTTGACTTTATATTTGTGATGATGGTGTGAGATGTGAATAGAATCAGATATAGTAGCTCGGATAGATGATCCAAGTTGGATGGATAGTCAGGACTTCTTTACTATTGAGGGCAGTAGGATAAAACAATATATGGGAAGCTTCAGCTAATCCCGTCATTGTAGTTGGAAAAGTCTTTTAACATTGTTTTGATATTTTTAATATCAACTTGATGGTTGTTGAAAATGGCACGGACTGCTATTGCCGATTTAATTTGGAGTTTTTCAAGTTCTAGAGGATTACTAGGTGGGTTCTTGTGTAAATAGGGTGTTCTTTGGCTCGAGTCAAGATTTCACGAAATGACTGTCTAATATAGAAGGCATCACAATCGACACATTCTAATTTGTAGACACAATTCTATGTTGACATAAAGGGGATTTTATTCCTTTATGTGAACTAAAGCATTTTGAAGGATGTTAGTTATTTTGTAGTGACCTTTAATTCTGTATTGTTTGAAAATAAGTACTTTAGCACGAGAGTGAACGCATCTGTGAAGCTGTGACAGATTTTCAGGCATCCAAATATCTTAAAACATTAAATACGACAATCGCGTGGATTAGAATATAAGTAGTCTGTACCTGTCTACACGGCTTCGTCCAACAGCCGACTACTCCATGAAGTGATATGACATATTGGTTTTGACGGCCCTAATTTTCGTCCAACTTATTAAATCTGGCAAATGGATAATCTCACCAAAACAAAAAAATATTGTGTTATTTAACAGGAAGTCAAATCATGACTAGCTATTTTTCTCAACAGATTGTATGGATCATACGATTGACCTTAATGATCCCTTAACATTTCTTTTTTATAGTCCTTCAAATTGTAATTTCCCAACTTTTCATTCTTTGGTCAAATTTGTTCCTTTTGCGACAGTATTTATCATGTTAAGGTTTTCATTATAGTTTAAATGAATTTCACTTATCTACTTCCCATCGTGTTTATTATGTTTATCACTGCAATGATATGAGTTATGACGACATAAATCGACACGAATTCTTGTCCGATTTTATATTTATAATAACTGACTATTTTAACTTCTAAAATAAGTACGACTGATATTCTGTGGATGTTTACACTCTGTATCGAACACAATTATTAAAGGTTGATTTAACAACTAACACTTACTTTCTTAGAATATTCTGATATTAATTCAGATATAATATTTTTAAGCTGAGTACAATACTCATCAATAGCAGAACGTCGTTTTGAATTTAATTTCGATGAATCCACCAACTTATAAACTGATGATAATAGTCCCTTTAACGAAAACTGAATATGCTCTTGTATGTTTACAGTCGATTTTCGATCCGGATTAGTAAATAGACTATTCTAAAAAACATAAATAATGGTGATCATTTATTTTATGAAATTTTTCTTTTAAAAAAATAAACAAACAGAACTAGAATTGAGATAAATAAGTGTCTTAATCAAACAGAAAAATTGATTCATTATAGCCATAAGTGATATAAAACCCAATAGGATCTCATATCTTCACTTGTTTAGTCTCTAGACAAAAAGAATAGGTTGACGTTTTTTATAAATTACGATAAAACGTAACATTAAATTTGAATATTAAATAGTAGTAAACAGAATGATAGATTATGGCTCTAGAAGTGATACGATTTGCCGGGCAAGAAAAAAACGATGTTTCAAAGCTGTTGCTGGAATGTATTATATTTATTCTGTATGCTCAATCGGTACGTATGTACATCGGTTCAAGTTGCCACACTCAGAAAAATAAAGTTATCAGACCAAATCTTAAAATAGTAGAAGTAGTAACAGTCTCATTGTTAAAAGGAAAGATTAGTCATCGAAAATACGATTCGAAAAGAAAATATGAATTAGTGAAATGAAAACGAAAAAAATATGAGGAATCTAGAATCTCGGAAATTGGGGGAAGACAAAGAATAAATGCATGTGCGTCATTGCAAACGATTTGAGCCATATCAAAGTCCCTAACCATTGGTTACGATAATCACGCGGACCCCAACCAAATAGTCTACAACTATAAACATGGCTAAATCCTATTGTCTGTGACTTCATGAACTGATGCCATGTTTTGGTTTGGTCGTCCGTAGCTTTCTTCCGGCACACGCTTACACCAGAAAATATCACCCGTCAAGATAGCCGGTATAGTTGGGTATAAGTAACACATATCCCAACCACCTCAGTTCATAAAGATTTGTTACATCTTCAGTCGATTTCCCAGCTTTACCTAGTAATCTATTCTCAACCCAGGCACTGGTCCCAAAATACACGGTCAATGCTTCGAATACCAGTAACCTACGGATATTCTCTGTTCTTAATGGCCATTTTCAAACCAATAAAGTAGAACGAAACAAACTGCTACATACTGAACTCACCCTTTGGTTGTCAGACGGATATCTCGCCTACTCCACAAGTGATGTAAGTTAGTGAAAACCAATCGAGCCATCTGGATCGGTGCCGAGGTCTTGTCAGACACCAAACCATCAGTACTGACGAGACCCTCAAGATAAATGAAGCGGTCGATGCGTTCACTACCTATTCTTAAATCAGGCGATGGAACACGCCAGTCCTGAAACAAAGTCTTGCATTTCGAGGGAGATAGCCGCATCCCAAACATGCTTGCATTGTTGCTTAAAGTGGTCAGAGGAATGCATTTTGTTAGCGTCTTCATCAAACAGAACTATATCGTCCGTGTATTTTAAGTCAGCAAGTGAATCTGCCGGAAGATTAATCCCTGAGAAGTCAGATGATGAAAGTGTTATCTCTAAAAGCATGTCCATGACAAAGTTAAATAAAAATGAGGAAAGTGGACAACCACTTGAAGTAACCAATTTCGACGACAGCTCGCCGTAATTGAAACGCCTTAATGCTATCATACCCCTCTACAGTCAGAGTTATGACTTCACACTCAGATCTAAAGTTGCTTACCGTTCTCCAACCGACTTCTTAGGATGATAGAACCTAAAGGAACATGTGTTCGAGATAAAATTACTCGGTTGGGTCACCACGATAGGTAAGCCCGACCACCACGTCAAGATAGCAACTAAAGTCTATGTTCTACGTTGGCTGCATAAAACTAGCAGTTTATTACTACATTTATCTTTCTTAAAAACCACTAACATTTGGACTATTTTATGTTTATTTTTATTCATCTGCATATTAATCAATTCGATATTTTTCACCAATCATGTCTCAAATGAAGCTATGATCTAGTGATGTAAATACATGATCACTTATTGTTTCACGGGTTCGAATGGTTCTCTTTACCAATGAGTGAGTTATCAGTATTAAATTTTGTACACTAAAAAATAGTGTTCTAAGACTGAGAAACTGTGATACTAAACTGATTACGAACAAGGCAAAGCATGCGTTACCATAATTTTCCCAATATAATAAAAAATATATGTAAAAACTAGAATATAGGCTCGGTTCATTAAACACATATTTTAATGTAGACTAAGTTTAGGTATTATTTATAATGAACTTCATGATATGAACTTATTACGACTTAAATCAAAATGGAATGTAGCTTAAATTCGAATAGGCAAACTCGTATTCGATAAATGAATTACATTTTTAGATATGTTAATACTAACCTAAATGTAAATAAATATTTGTAATATCGCAATGAGTAGAAAATTAGATTTTCTGACGTTTCGTGACTTAGTGTAAGTCACTTCTTCAAAGAATAAATAACCAAATTAAAATTAATCCACGTTTAAATAGTGCAACGGAACAATCATTTTTCCGCTGCACTATTTAAACATGGATTAATTTTAATTTGGTTATTTATTCTTTGAAGAAGTGACTTACACTAAGTCACGAAACGTCAGAAAATCTAATTTTTTACTCATTGGGATATTACAAATATATTGTTTATTTATAACAATCTACCCAATGCTCAATTTATTTGAAATTATCAAATCAAAGCTTGGTAATGATACCTAATAACCTAAATGGTTGGAAACTGATACGATGCTCAGAGATTACACCTGACAATCAGATCTCAATTGATTAGAGAATGATTTACTTACAAGCTAATTTCCTGAAATCGCTTATGGTATATTGCTATATTTATTTTATATTCATCCTCTTTATATAAGCATTTATCGTATTACATAAAAAAAGCTATTCATATGGCTATTGGTCCTTTCTTTGGTTTCTATTCATTTGAGGGTCTGAGTCAAGTATGCGGTCTCATGAGTAGCTATTACTCGCTTACACTATATCACTGAATTTATCTATTGATTAGGACTTTACACATTGATTTTGACGGTCAATATTTCGTCTAATCACAACGCAAAAACCTCCTCTTACAAATGATTATGAAAACGAGCTTATCAACAGTTTTTGAAATTAAGAAGTAATTGAAAAGATATACAACGTAAGAATAAATGGTTATTTAACATGGGAAGGGAAACCATTCTCTAAAACCAGAATAAATTACTTATAATACAAAAAAATTGTCATTTGAAGAAAAATAAAGACAATTCGATTTTCAGAATGGGGTTTGTGGAGATTGTAGTAAGTTAATAGTTCAATTCATGAGTCGATTTAGGCTAGACCACCACTAGTAACCTGGGAGATGTATTTCCAGGAGTTCTAGTGAGAAGCTGTGATCAATGGAGTACAGCCGTGTCTGTTGCGAGGCAGTGACTTACTGAAGACAATGGTGGACGGTCGCGCAATATCGTGGATCGGTTGAAGTTAGATATTAACGTCGTTAGATGTCGGCCCAATGGTCCAGAGGTTAAGTGTTCACGCGCGAGACCGAAAGTCCTGAATTCGAATCCCGCGTGCGGGATCGTGGATTCGCACTTTTGAGGGGTTCTGTACTAGGACAAAACGGCCATCCAGTGCTTCCAGGCTTCCAATGGTGGTCTAGCTTAAGTCGACTCATGAATTTGACTATTAAATTACAATTTCATTTCTCATATCATTAATATTTTTGTTGAACTTCTTTATTGGAATGTCTTTATTTTTCTTCTAATAAGTTTAGTTCATTACCACATAATGTATTACTTCAAACTCATCTAAAGCTTCTAAAAGTTTTCCAGAAGTTCGTAACCGGATACCATTGGATTTGGAAATTCCATTAAAGACTGATTGAATTAACTCTACTGCATCCGAAAGAGAATTCGAAACAAAAGTTCTTGAATCTCTTGGAATGAGATTATCAGGATAGCGTAAACACACCTAAATTTTGAAAAAAAGTAAGTTTTTTCATTGATCGAAAGGTTTCTTGTACTGTAAAGTGAAATTTAAGAAAACTCTGAGCTGAAGTAAAGAAACCAAAAATGATCAAGTTTGGTTACTCACTTGACAACGCCTGTTAAGTGTAGTGAAACGCACAATAGGCACTTCCGGTACCTGAATATTTGACAGAACTACCTAGACACTTAGTAAGCCACTTATTGAGTTTTCATACCAAATTAACTTGGTATCATACCTAGTCTACTGTAAAAACATACATAGAGAATGTCATTCGAAAAGAAGGAATGAGTCCGATAAACAAAGAGTATGATTTTGGATTTAGGAATCTAGGAGGACATAAGGAGTGGATGCATTTACATAAGCTTGACTGGTTCTGAGCCTTTTCAGTCAACGTTTCCAACCACTAAGTCAGTTATCCCGCCGCTAGTATAACCGTAATGACACGGAAAAAACTAACAGACAGTGATTTCATTAACTGATGTCATATTTTGGCCTCCTTAAAACCAAGCGATAGTAGACACACATCAATAAGTTGGTGAGGAGGTTAAATGAGAGGATTGAAGTCATGTGGGCCTGACGAAATCGCTAGCGAAAACATTCACAACACTAAGTTATTACCTTAAATGTAATTTTATAACTAGTGTCTCGAAATCTTATTGGACTGCTAAATCTAAACTTTGTGTATACTTATGCAGTTATGTAAATAAGTGAATTCCTTCACCTGTTTAACTAACAAACATGGCCTAGCAAGTATCCACACCAAGACTTAATATGAGTTCCAAATAAATTCAGTGTTCGATGATTTTGTATAATAGGAATGACATATTTGTAATATAACAATGAGCGAAAAAAGTTTTAACATTCTCTGTCCTCCTAAAGGGCGGTTTCCATGACGATGATGTTGAGAAACACCGGGTACTTATTTTTATGTTCATTCAAGCTTTAAAAATACATTATTCCTATCATAGATTGAACTTACCTTACAAGATGTATGTAATAAAGGCGTATTATTTTTAAGCACGTAGTTGGCAGACTCAATTTTTCTACGGTCTTCAAGGTCAATTAGATCAGATGCACGTTTCTTTGACAAGCTGATAAGTTGTAATACATGAGGGTAAAAAGTATTCCACAAACGACTCAGTTCCTAAGAAAGAGAATATATATATATAAATGATGTGATTTGATTTTAGCATGTATGGAAAGGTATAAAGGGGTAGCCTCACCAACCAAACGTTTTTAACGGCGCTAGTTCTTAGTAAAGGGTTATAAAACCCTAACCCGTAAAAAGCATTTCCTCCCATCCTCTATGATTCTTCGGCTCTAACAGTAAGGACTGTGAATTATGGAGTTAGCTATAAGAAAGCCACTTACACAAAGGTTGTATGTAACCGGTCTTAATCATTTGAATCTTCAGATTTCCAGTCACATACCCAGGTGCGCAAGATCAATAAGAATCCTTTAATCAGATCCACGAAGAAGTCTATGACCCCAACTTTTCCGATTACACCTTAAAAACAATCACATTGTTAGCATCCACAATCAGCTGAGATGAACTTGTGGAACCATACAAAAGGTGTAACGCACAAGAAACATGTAATGATCCATAATATTAACCCTACTGAAAACACGAGAATGAGGAGCTTTGTACCAGTCTGTAAACATAAATACTTTGTGACTGAGACCAAAAGCGCAAAAAGAGCTAGAGGGCTATTTCATTTCCCAAAAGTCTTGATGTTATGATCTCACTTAGAAGCTGGGTGTCGATGTTTCCAGATTTTTATCTCTACTCTCAATTTGCGTACTTAAATCTTTACACCGAAACATCGGGTCTCTTGTTCTAAAATCTAAGGGTTAATAAAGCTAGGACATTTTCGCCAAGAAGCCTTTAAGAAGTTCTAGTATACGGTCCAAGTAATGATAGATCACAAAAGGAACATCAAACGACATAAAAGCTACATGAACATGGCCCTTAAGATGACGTCGTTTTGAATCCAATGGACGGAATAATTGGTCAAGCAACCAAACACTACATAAAACATACCGCGTGTGAAGAGACTGACTGGAATTCCGTAATACCACTGAGGACGGCCTCGAACTGCTGGTTAAGAACCAATGAGTCTGCTATATCAGCTAGTATAAGTAGTCTGCTCAAAGCAGCCAAAAGGGCGTTGATAGATCGACAAACACCACTCTGATGGGATTCATTTGCAGGGTCAGACAAAAAACTGGAAACTGAAGAATAAAAATACTGCCCAGTATCAATAACATCTGTTTTAGCGGTTAAAAAATCTGACGATAATGAGGGAACACTCTGGACAACACTGAAATCGTCACTAAGCAACTGAATAACCTGCGGATTGTAATGTACAAGAAGGACGAAATATTACCTCTTTGATACTAGACAAAATATCCTCCTGTGGTTTTGATTTAAGACGGTAAGAACCTTTCATGTGACCTCTCCTCGCGAAACACTTCACTTTTGTGAACAGTGGCTCTAAAATGCATTCTACCGCTTTAGTTCGTGTTTCTGTTCCGTATAGCGGCTTAAAATTAACTGATTCCATGAATTACACAACACAAAACGAGCGATGAAACAATTGTATAAACTACATTTGACTTCGTCGAAGGTTAGATATACAAATTTCAATACCCAGTTGAACTTTGTCTTCGATCCACAGCAATAAATATTGAAGATCAAACAACCAATAAGAACTCTTGAGGATTTTGGCAACGTG